AATTAATCTTTAATAAAAAAAATTAATACATTTAATTCTCAATAACGACAAAGTCTCGTCAAAAGGAAAGGATATACATAGCTAAGCAGGAATCGAAAAGAAACAATGCGCACCTTGTATATGTTAATTGAATTATAAGTACATACTCCTACATACACAAATACACGCACACATACATGCACACGTAAATGGTGGAGGCGCGTTAGTCAACTTGAAATCAATTCAAATATTGGTAAGGCTACAACAGGCTGACTTAAAAGCTTTATAAATGTGCAAAGCCTAACTGTTAATGGGCTGCGCAGAGAGCAAAGCTCTCTCATCAATGTCGACGTCGTCATTCAACACTGCGTAGCACGAAAAAGTTTAAAACAGCGGAAGGTAAATACGAAAGCAAAAGAAAGAAAGAAGAACGTTGGGAAAGTCATGTTAGCATGCCGAATAGTATATGCTCTTTAGCTAAGAACTTATAAGTGTGTAAGTGAGATAATGCTTTTTTTTAAACCACTGAATATATTTAGAAAACGAAAATATTTATTAATTAATATTTTTATGCTATTAGTGGTGGTCAGCCAATCGATAGACTAGTCCAGTTAAATTCGTGTCACATTCAGCATACCACAGCTATGACACTCGCCTCGAGGGCATAAAAAGCTCTCTGGAGCTGCAGCTGATTGAGGCCAACTGCCGGCTGCCAGCGGCAGCAGCGTTTGGAGCTCTTGCTGCTCGATTTAGTCGAAAGTTCACTGCCAAAGTGTTAGGAAGTGCGCCGCTTGGACGTGCGTGTCGGTACGTTTGCGTGTGCATGCATATATGTGTGTGTGTGTGTTTGTAGGTGGCGCCCGCGTGGAAAACTTGAAAAGCGCTCGAATTCTCGCTCACTCTCTCACACATACAAATGCCGTGTGTGCGAGCGTTCGTGTCGCAACCTGTTCTCCAGTTGACGAGTCTGGAATGAATTTTTTTTATTGTTTGTGCTGAACTCAGCTGTGCACCCGGCAAACGCCCGATAAGACTTATGGATTTTTCAATAGTACCCAAATTTATGATAGCCCTAGCGATATTATGTAATGTAGTAAATATTATTATTGTTATGAATGCCTAATCGTTCAGTCGCGGCAAATTCTTTAACATAGTATACATATATATGTGGCAGTATGTGTGTGTGTGTATGTATGCGTGCTTTGCCAGAATCTGAAACTTGTTTGCAGGCGATTGGGCTGGGTCAGCGCGGCCAATGATAAGCGTTCGAGGCAGCAACTGTTTTTTCGATTAACAAACAAATCAGTTGGATTTTAAAAATGCTTATAGTGTAGTGTATTAAATGTTCTTTCTTCAAAATCTTATACATACAGTACTTAGCCGCAGCAGTAAGGGCAATAGCAGAAAGGAACATGAATATATATATATATATATATATATATATATATACATAAATGCATACACATATATATTTAATGTAAAGGTTACTCAAAGCGCATTTTACATGGATTTTTACATGCACCAAATGAATGAAAACGAATAATGAATATATATATATCTACGATATATTTAAATAATAGAAAAAGATACATACTATATGTATTGATAAAAGACAAACTCCATATACAACAATTATAAGCATGTAGCACTGTAGATAGGGAAAATTGTATTAAATTAAGTACAAGTATAAACAAAAAACAAAACAGCAAATCAATGATATTTGTTGCCACGGTTTTATGGAACAACATTAACTAATAGAAAAGGAACAACGCAAAATTTCAGATTGACAAAACAAACCCCACAAACATCATAAATATGTTGTAAATTAGGCATTGATTTTTGAGTTAATCACAGGCACATTTAAAATATTTGATTTTTCCATTTAACTGAAATGTTTTGAACTTTTGACCTGTTACCTGTGCTGTTACCGCTGCTGCTTCTGCACCCGTAAAACCCTAAACCGGACCCGAGTAAGTACACGTGGTAACAATGAATTGTATGACAAAGCCAATTAATAAGATCAACGAATTTTTGTTCAACTTGTTGTATACTCTGTACCTTTATAGGGCATATCCAAAAGCCAAGGCGGCGCATTTTTAAAATCTGGCTTTCCGGCCGACTCGATATTATCCTGTCCGTCTGCTTTCGATCTCAACTGCAGATATTTCAGTATCATATGCAAAAATAGGCATGGAAAACTTGAAAAGCGCTCGAATTCTCGCTCACTCTCTCACACATACAAATGCCGTGTGTGCGAGCGTTCGTGTCGCAACCTGTTCTCCAGTTGACGAGTCTGGAATGAATTTTTTTTATTGTTTGTGCTGAACTCAGCTGTGCACCCGGCAAACGCCCGATAAGACTTATGGATTTTTCAATAGTACCCAAATTTATGATAGCCCTAGCGATATTATGTAATGTAGTAAATATTATTATTGTTATGAATGCATAATCGTTCAGTCGCGGCAAATTCTTTAACATAGTATACATATATATGTGGCAGTATGTGTGTGTGTGTATGTATGCGTGCTTTGCCAGAATCTGAAACTTGTTTGCAGGCGATTGGGCTGGGTCAGCGCGGCCAATGATAAGCGTTCGAGGCAGCAACTGTTTTTTCGATTAACAAACAAATCAGTTGGATTTTAAAAATGCTTATAGTGTAGTGTATTAAATGTTCTTTCTTATCTGCTTACACCCACAGAATTATACGTGAATAGTTCCAGACAGCAACAGTAACAGTCAAAAAAATCAAAAAAAAAAAGGTAGAAATATTTAGTAGAAATGGCTCCAACACCCCGTGTAGATATTGATAGACCAAAGTATGATCAGAGCACATATTTGGGGCGTGTCAAGCACTTCATTCTGGTCACGAATCCCCTGAACGTATTCGCCTCCAATGCGGAGCTGGAGAGGGCGCGTCAAATCGTCATCAAGTATCGGGCCGGCAAGGAGGTGCCCGAGGCGAAATCTCTGGAGGATATATGGAAGGCCAAGTATCTGTACGATTCGGCCTTTCATCCGGAGACGGGCGAGAAGCAGCTCATCGTTGGACGCATGTCCGCCCAGATGCCGATGAACATGCTTATCACGGGCTGTAAGTATGACCCCCTTCACCCGACCCCCCTTCTCCTGACCTGGAGTATACCCGCTCCCCAACCCATCTGACGACCCCCCTCGCCTGACCTGGAGTAAACCCCCAATCCCCAACACATCTAACGACCTCCCCTCTCGCCTGACCTGGAGAATATCCCCTTCCCAACCCATCTAACGACCTCCCCCTCGCCTGACCTGGAGTATACCCCCTCCCTAAACCATCTGACGACCCCCCTCGCCTGACCTGGAGAAAACCCCCAATCTCCAACCCATCTAACGACCCCCTTCGCCTGACCTGGAGTATATCCCCTCCCTAGCCCATCTAACGAGCCCCCCCCCTCCCCACGCCTGGAGCTTGTGGAGATTTCAACTATTCGCTTCCGCGCGTTGATTAATAAACAACTATTAATGTATTTGTTGTTGTTTTTTTTTTAGGCATGATGACCTTCTACAAAACAACGCCGGCGGTCGTCTTCTGGCAGTGGTTCAATCAAACGTTCAACGCCATCGTCAACTACACGAATCGCTCGGGCACATCTCCAATTAGTCAATCGTAGGTGACCGCCCCCCCGCCCGTAATGGGTCCAGGGCGAGATTGCTTTGTGACCGACCTTAAGCTATATTCTATTCTATTTGCTTTTTTTTTTGTCAATTCAAATACAGACAACTGTTGACCTCCTACTGCCTGGCAACGAGCGGCGCGCTGGGCACAGCGCTCACCCTGAACCGAGCGGTGAGGAACATGAATCCGCTCATCGGGCGGCTGGTGCCGCTGGTCGCTGTCGCAGCCGCCAATTGCATCAACATTCCTTGCATGCGGATGCAGTGAGTAGAGGCTTGAGGGGCTTAGCTGGAGTTGGGAGCTAACCTAAGCTTATGTATTCCGCAGGGAGCTGCGCAACGGGGTCAGCCTGTTGGACGAGAAGAACAATGAGGTCGGCATTTCCAAGAAGGCCGCCTTTGTTGGCATCTCAGCTGTTGTGGTCAGTCGCATTGCCATGGCCATGCCCGGAATGAGTATGTTGTCGTCGAGTACCTAAGTCTTATCTAATCTAACGCATCCTTCGTTGACAGCCTTGACGCCCTTGCTGATGGATAAGCTGGAGAAGCGCGGCTTTCTCAAGAGATATCCTCGTGCCAATGCTCCGATCCAAACGCTTTTCTGTGGCTTTGTTCTGCTCTTTGCCACGCCCTTGGGCTGTGCATTCTTCAGCCAGCGGGCGGCCATCAAGGTAGACTCCCTGGAGGAGGAGGTGCGCGATTCCATCAAGAAGAAGCGTCCCGAACTGGAGACAGTGTGGTACAACAAGGGCTTGTAAGTCAGCAACATTTTAATTTTAGATGAATTAAAAATTGTTAGTGCTGGACAATACTTTTATCATAGGACTTGTTTATTAACTCAACATGCATTTAATATATTTTTAAGCATTCAAATGTCGTTATTTCTGTGTTACGGTAAATATTGTCTGGATTAGTCAGAACATATGAATTTATGTGAATTAGTTAAATATTGTTCAAAATATGCAGCAATTAACTCAACGTGTGTTTATATCAATGAAGATATTGCTAATAAAATGTATGAATGTAAATAAGTGTGCATATTTAATGCAATTCAAACGAGCAACGTATTGTTTTCAAATCCAATTGTTGCTGTGCAGCCCTACCATGCTACAGCAGTCAGCATCTGTCAGCGATGTTGCTCGTCGCTAAAAATACCAAAGGTAGTTAAATTGCAAAAAATACCAATTTACTGTGGGTTTCTCAATGAGCAATAAATATGTGTGTATTATGAATATAATTGCGCAGCAATAGATATGTGAGTAGGCTTTACATGACTTACTAATAAAAATAGTAACATATATCGATAACTGTATTAAATCAACTGTGTGCGTATTTGTCTATCGATACATTAATACCACTATGTATATATAATCAATTAGCACCAATAAATACCAAACGGATTGAGTTGAGCGCATTTTGCGACGGAGTCATTCAATGTTTTAAATTAATTTATTAATAAAACTAAATGGAAAACGCGTCGACTATAAACAAAAGACGCTCACTTACGCTCACCAGTAGATTACTTCAGAAACGACACAGCGGTAAGTTCTAACGCTGCGCAGCTAAGTAATCTTGAGAATACAGTCGAATATCAAATGCAGCCTCACCACAAAGTCGCGTTCGCGCCAGCGCATCGCAGGAAGCTCCAAATGATGGAGACTCGCCTAGATCTTCAACAGTGAGACTTGCCGACAATGTTGAGAGCACGCCGCCCAACAAAAAGAATCACACGTTGGACGACAGCCTGGATTTCTCGCCGCGCAACAGCCTCTCGCCCAGCTGCCTGTTCTCCCAGACGTTGGTCACCGGCAGCCCGGAAGTCAGCTGGCGCTGGAACTGCGATAACAATGGGCGTGGCGATAAGGTCAACACTACCTCGGACAGCGGCTTTGATTCGGAAGAGTTTGGGCCGAATGCGTGCAAGCAGAAGGATCGACGCAAACAGGTGCGAGACGCAGCCAATGAGCACAGGCGGAAACAGTTCGAAAGCAGACAATGGCGGGCGCAGCAGATACGTGATCACGAGCTGCTTAAAGAGCGTTGCGACAAGCTGCACAGGCAGCTGTTGGATCAACAGACTGCGGCACCGGAAGCGACAGCTGATGCCCCGGCAAGCGAAATAGCTGCAGCTGCAGCGGATCCCGCCTTGGCAGATTTTCTAAACGATTCCGATACGGATTGCTTTTTGGTTGAGGCCTCACAGCAGCTGGAGTCAAAGCTGGCGCCAAAGCAGACGCCAAGGCAGGCGCCTGCTGCCACCACGCCCACCAGTCATCACAAGAGCCACAAGGAGAAACAGTCCTCGTTCTATATGAAGTTTCTGGAGGATGAGAGCGAAACTGAGGATTGGTTTCTCGCCCTCGACGAGGCCATGCTGGAGGCTTCAAATCCCAAGAAGCCGCGCCTCGCCCTGCAGCGTTACAAATCGATGCCGAGCAAAACAGCCGCCGATGCCAGCGTCAGCGCTAGCGTCAGTTGCAGTGCGTCCACAGATAAGCACTGCATCGCCTCCTCCTCCTCCTCCTCGTCCGCTGCCAATGCGGGCATGACAATGTCCGATACGCCACGCATAAAACGCCACGCTAGCACCCACGCCCTGTCGCCCGCCACCTCAAGTGGTAAATGATGCCTTATTTCTACTTATTTCACATTTATCACTAATATATAAATATATATATATACTTTTAGCAAGAGGCAATCTCTTTGGTAGGCGGCAGTAAAGCCTTAGACAATGCCTTTTCGCCCACAATAAAACGTTCCAACGGCTTCCCATCTACCTGTACCGAATGTGATGCGCAAAAAGTTGGGTGTGCTCCAAGTTTCGCTCGCCTCTTTGTTGCTCGTTATTTCATTGAACATGTATACGTTTAATTTAATCCATATACTCTTAAGATACTTGTATAATTAGAATTGAAGCTCAATTAAAACTTAATTGTAATTTAAACCTGGTGCTCAATTGCTATTGAGCTAATTGCATTGCCTTGGAGCCACGGACCATATGTTCCGGCTAAGAGATTTGAGGTGCCGCTTCAGTTGGAATGCGACGGTTGCGCATGACAAAGCGACCGACCGACCGCCCGGATTAATAACGAGCGCCTTCCTGTGACGTCTGAGCATTAAGACCCAATGGAGCTTACAATAAATAATATTGTGTGTCCAAACAAGCTTTATACAAATTTCTATTAATGTTTATAGCTGTTAATAATAAGTAAGGAAATGTATTGTTTAATGTCTATTATGTATAAACTGACTAAATGTATTTTAGCTAAGTTAATGAATAACCTTTATAAATGTACCTCTAATGCTCCCAAGAGCTTCTACAACTTAGCTTATAATTTTAGTTTAATTATTATTAGGCTGTTAGAATATAGAATAGATATTTAAGTCTTACAATGTCACTAAATATTTATTATTAAAATAAATGCAAAAAATATTGCAAAATAATTAAAGATTTTCAGGGCTTCACTTTAGAAATATTTATTACCAAAATAAATACATAAAATGTTGGCAAAATAATAAAATATTTTCGCTCATTAAACGAGAGATTACGGCCAAATGAATGTTAATATGTAACCTTTAAAGGGACACAAGCTGCAGCTTATTGATGATAGCTCACAATCATAAATAAAAAAGGTTTAATGCGCGCTTTCGGCCGTAGCCCATTTCATTGGGGCTAAGGTCAAAGTTGAAGCTCTTTTCAGCTATTATACTCTTAAAACCCAATTCAAACGGCCATACATACATACACACATGCGTAAGCATATGAACATATATATGTATGTGCGTGCGTATGTATTGCTTTTTGTGAAATGCAACGAATCTGGAACATAAAGTATGTTGCCATATGTTGACAATGCGCAGCATAAACCAATCGCAGCCGAGCAACAAGCCGAGCAATCGAAAAAAGGAGAAAAAACAAAACAGAATTGGCGACAACAGTTATCGCGGGGCGGAGAGGAATAGGTATACAAGGAATACAAAAAAACAGAAGCAGCGGGTCAACTAAATTGGTGACGTCTACAAAGCGCAAAGCAAGCTGCAAAAGTAACAACAAAGCCGAAGGGAACACAAAGCTTGAGCCTCAAACTGAAGGAGCAGCTGGGCGTGCGAGCAGCACAGCACTAGCGCGACAAATGAAATGCACTGTGTGGGCGCTAACTGTTGAGGGGTGTGGGCGCTAGCAAAGCTTTCATCGTGGAGCTTTTCACAAATGCTTTTGTAAGATGCCTTGCCGTTCGTATATTCATAATGGCGTCCACAACCGACGCAGGCAAACAGTTTTCAGCGCGCAACGCCAAAGTGAAGTTCGTGGCAGCGCACAACAAGCCGCAAATAGCAGCCACACAACGCAGACAAAAACAAATTGTATAAAGACTAAATGCAGTTAGAAAAGACAAAATAATAAAATACAATTATTTGATTGCCCAAGCAACGTTAAAGCTTACAAGTTTTATGTGTTGCCGGCCTCTGAAGGATTTCTAACTTAACAAAAAGCGAACGCACGAATTTTGCTTGTGCTCAGTGAAGCGCGGCCTTTATTTTTGACATTCCTCCTCGAAAGCCCCCGTTTCCACCACTGAACTAACAAAAGAGTGTGCACGAATTTGTGGCGCCAGCGTTGCCCCATCGTCGCAATTCTGAATTGAACAGCAAACAGAGTCAAAAGAAAAACAGCAGCAGAAAAAAAGAAAACAACAAGAACAACAACTTGAAAGGCGAAACACGTGAAATGTTCATTGCGGCAGCTGCATGGAGCTTTGCTGCTTCATGGCGACTGCTCTGCATCGGGACGCTGACGCTGGCGATGCTGCTGACGCTGGCGATCGGCGATGCCGACGCCGCTGCCAGCGGCACCGGCGGCCTGGGCAATCAGGCCGTCTTCACCAGCTCATTTCTGGTGCGCTTCCGTCGGGGCGTTGACAATGACTTCGCCCACCAGGTGGCCGACAAGTATGGTTTCGACAATCTGGGACCGGTAAGTAACTAGCCAAGTACAGTGAACACTCTCGTTAACCGACACAAACAGTTGTCTAAAAGAAGTAGCAAAAATATTAAAAATAAAATCGCATTTAGTTAATTGTGTCGAGATTTCATGCTGACAATTAAGTTTTAAGTCTCTATATTTGCCGTTTAAAAAGTTGTTTGTCTGTTGCAGAGAGCAAAAGAAAACAGGCGAGCGAAATGGCTGCTCAAGGGAGCTTTCACTGTACTCTTTACTTATTACAAACGGCCAGTCAGTCGTTTGCTGTGAAAAATCAATTATTTTATGTTCCGACGGCTTCTGCATGTTTGCTGGCCAAAAGAGACAACCAGCCGCAACAATAACAACAACAACACGCAGTCTTCAAGGGCTGCTTTTTAATTGTGGCTTCTTAAGTGGGTGTGCATGTGTGTGTGTGTGTGTGTGATTGCTGTGTGTGTGGGTAGGCGCGTGCCTAGCATACAGAACATTATAAAGTCAGCAGCGGCTTTGGCCAACTTCCGGCTGCCACGCAGCAATTTCCATTGCATATCGTCGAGGCGCAACCTTTCGAACATTTCGTGTTGCATGTTGCGTGGCAAACGGGCACAAGGCCAGCAACTGCAGTATGTAACTATGTAATAGCATAACATATATTACATTTTTATTTATTTTACCTGCACTGACAGCCAAACACTTGACAGCGCCAAAAATAGCACACAATGAGTCAGCGGAATTGAATGATATCCGTCTGGAGCTGACAGCTATTGTGTCTGGCTACAGAGCCCACTTGTTGCATATGCTGGTGGCAACATCAGCGACAACTCGTCAACTCGACAGTTCGACAACTCGAGTTGCAGCCTTTTTCGTTCTGGCCGAAAATTAATTGGCCGGCATGTTGGCTTAATTAGGTAGCCAGCCGTCAATAACATTATATCAGGGTCAACAATTGCGTCAATAAAGAAATATGAAGCAGGCGCCAAATCCAATTAGTTTATACGCTCTTCATTATTTATATAATGCTGATTTATGTGCAAGTTAATACGGTCCGACTTGTCCACTGCGCTGCCCTTCCTGCGCCCCATTCTGCCGACCAGTTACCTGAGACACGCCATTTTCTTTGGTCCTACTCCGGCTGCTTGCTGGTTACGCTAACATTTATTGCCCATAGTTAGACGCAGCTGCAACGTGGCATTGGGGCAACATCGTCTGGCTCTGATTGCGGGGCAGCCACCTTAACAAGGTCATTACGTTGCACAATCCATTTCCAGGGAAGTGTTCACGTAAGGGAAGCCCTTTGTGCCTCAAATTGCAAATTGGTCTTCCTCTTATGCCATGTGCCAGCCACAGACGAGAGCACTTGGGACCCCTCGAATTTGAGTTCTTAGAAAGAAAGAGTTAATTTTAGTTTCCACTCAATTTAAGACAAGGCCATAAAAGTTTATGATAAAGTTTGACAAATACTTAAAAACAGATGGTTTAGACTGTAGTCTAGTCTAACTGGGTTTTCCTAGTAAATAAACATACCTTTAATCAGTTATTAAATACGATTTGTAATATACAAAATTCTGTTAATTAGTATATTAAAATTATCAATGCAAAATTGATAGCAAATGTAATGAGAAATGCAAGAGATGAGATTGTTTAATCTGCTCAAATTAAAAAAAAAGGCTAAAAAGGCTAAACTTCAATATTTGTTTATTTTATAATAGAAAAAACAAAATCCAATTAGGCCAATCCCATCCAGTCTAGTTTAATCTGAATTTGCTATTTGTCTATTTGTTTACCATTGGTTTATAAAGTTTATTTAAGTTTTTTGTATTTAAAAAAATAACGTTTGCACTTTTAATAAAAATATTTAAGTTCCGATTTGCTAGCTTTGATAATTTTTCAGCAGACGCAAGTGCATAATTTGTTGTTAATAATGCAATAAATATGAATTTAATTGTTGTTTATCTGTATGTATGCATTAACTTAGTTTCGCCTCAATAATTTATACAAAATTGGCAAGTTTCTTCAACTCAGCAGGTAGCAAATTTAGCACAAACCTTTATATATCAAGATCGAGACAGCAAAAGTCATTTGGAGACCCGTTCAGAGTATTAGGGGTATTGTTTTTGTGCAAATGTATATGGCAGGCAAAAGGAAGCATCTCCGACTCCGTAAAGTTTATATATTCTTGCGATCGACAGCCATGTCCGTCTGTACGTCCGTCTATCCGTCCGTATGTATGAACGCGTCAATAAAAGTATCGAAATTCTGTTTTTTCTTAAACAAATTTCTTAGGTTTTAAAAGCTAGTTTCGCCAAATTTGACATGTAGCTTCTAGAATAGTATCTACAAATCAAATATCTCTCAATTTATAGCTATCAGAACCCTCAAAAAAAAATCGAATGGAATTCCCAACCAATACCAATACTTTTATTAAGAATATACGCAAGTTCTATTTAATAAGATCTACTGCTCAAAATTTGGTCAAGATTGGTTGAGAAATACAAAGAAAACGATTTAGGGTATCTCCTAGTCGAGCACTCCCGACTATAGCACTCTAATTTATGTTTGGATATTCTTAGGTCTAGCAGCAAGTTATTTACTAACCGCATTTTTCGCTCATCTCTTGCATTCTTAATTACATTTGCGGCGACCTTTTTTTATTATTGCTGCAAATTCTTAGAATTTTCAACAGTATGGAAAGAGTATTATGAATAGTTGGGTTAATTCTGGGTTAGGCCCTTGGCTTCTATATTAGAATAACCAGACTAACCCACTCCAATGATATTACATCACTTTATTAAGAAGTAGCTTTTTTAGTTTTTTAGGAAAAGGATACGCCCATTGTAGAAAAGTGAAAGAATGAAAGAGAATAAATTTTATTTTTTTTTTCCAGAATACAAAATATATTCTGTCACTGACTTTTTGCTCTGGGGTTAAAAATAACTCTTACAGATTGCAAACAAATATCATAAATATATTGAGAGAGTATT